TCATGGGGCTATTACTTCNGACGAGATCACACGTCGCTGTATGCAGCGAGATTTGTTACCGGCGGTCTCGTCACGACGAAGAGACGAGATCACACGTCGCTGTATGTAGCGAGATTTGTTACCGGCGGTCTCGTCACGACGAAGAGACGAGATCACACGTCGCTGTATGCAGCGAGATTTGTTACCGGCGGTCTCGTCACGACGAAGAGACGAGATCACACGTCGCTGTATGTAGCGAGATTTGTTACCGGCGGTCTCGTCACGACGAAGAGACGAGATCACACGTCGCTGTATGCAGCGAGATTTGTTACCGGCGGTCTCGTCACGACGAAGAGACGAGATCACACGTCGCTGTATGTAGCGAGATTTGTTACCGGCGGTCTCGTCACGACGAAGAGACGAGATCACACGTCGCTGTATGCAGCGAGATTTGTTACCGGCGGTCTCGTCACGACGAAGAGACGAGATCACACGTCGCTGTATGTAGCGAGATTTGTTACCGGCGGTCTCGTCACGACGAAGAGACGAGATCACACGTCGCTGTATGCAGCGAGATTTGTTACCGGCGGTCTCGTCACGACGAAGAGACGAGATCTCATAGTGACAACGAAGCGTCTATATGTGCATCGCTGAACGCGTTAACAGAAGCTGCGTGAACTTATATGCACGGCAGTGAATATATTCAGTATTATCATAAGGGAATAAATAAATATAGTGATGTTTAACATAACAGCAAATGAAATTCCCACGACGATGTTTTGTTAATAATCTCAACTTATGCGTCGATCACAAATAATATGATTATTGTAGTTCAATATGTGCAAGAACGCTTTTAGTATGAGAGAATATTTATGATAATAATTTATAATAATTATAATATTCAAATATCATCACTTATATAATCAGCACATTACATTTTAATGTTCAAATCAACAATTCTAAAATCTATCCCGTCAGACTAAACATTTTCATTATTACCATCATTAGCATCAGCAGAGTCTATATTTTTCTGCTAAAATAAGCCCAACGTTCTTCTAACTAGTATCAGCAATTTCTTCCTCTCCATTAAAAATATTAATGTAATCAGATCGGACTGTATATTATTAACAATCTTTTCAACTCCGACTGTACAATAATTGTGATTAAGTTTCCAACTCCTGTATAATAAGCGCCAGCAATATTTTTCTACTTGAATTTTCAAGATCATTATCGCAAGCCGGTTAAAGTAAGAACTATTCTTGAGATATGTTTGAATTTCTAAATATTCTTCGAAATTCCTGGTATGATTTATCAATAATCAATTTTGCATAAACATTTTATTGCTTTTGACAAACTCATCTAATTGAAGCTCTTTGGAAAATAAACGGACGTTTGTTAAAGCATTAGTATATAAGGTTCTATTATTGAAATATACATTATTATCTCATAATTGAAAATTTAAAGCCGAGCCATCAATGAACCTTGTTTTTGATGATTAATTCTGTCAATAATAAGCGACGCCTCTCATTTACACACCAATAAATGTCGGCATCAATAAATGTTAACCTCCTTCCGGCTATAAAATTTTACAGTTTAATTGTCTTGCGACGGTTGAGGGACCAATGTGAAGATATTTACATGTGCATAAGGTCTAAATTACATACAATAAAACTAATTTCAATGCATCTACTTTAATGTTTCATTATTGCCGTGTTGTCTATATTTTTCTTTGCTTTTATTTCATTTTTAATTTTGTCTGAATTACTTACAGTAAAATAAATTTTACTGCAGTTATTTTAATAATGTTTCATTCGTGCCGTAGTGTCTATATTTTTCATTGTTTTGATTTTATTTTCATTTTTTATTTTTCGAATTATTTCAGCCCCAAAACGTGCGATTTTGGTCTAATGATGACAAGCAAAAATAAGTGCAGTGAAATCAATAATGTAATTAATGAAACATGCAGGAGTTCGATATATCCTTAATTTAAATATTAAATAAGTTTCAACTTGAGCATACTGTTAGGATAATGCACAATTTTAATCAGGTTAAAAAACTTTGCGAAAATATTTGTATTTTTATTACAAAATCTTAGGCAACTGCATGGTTCTCAAATTTTTAATGGCTATTTATTAGTTTAATTTTTTATCTCACAATCGATTACGTCATTTAATAAATTAATTGCAGGTGAATTGAAGAATTTCTCCCCTTCGTCTGCATGTTCAAGTTTAATAAAAAAAATGTAATATTTAATGACGTGATATTGCTTCGTTTGTGCAATTCCGAAATTTTGTTGTCTATATATGAAGTAGAAAAATATTGACATTACGATTAAAAAGCTAACACAGACACAATGTACTTCAAATTTATCGTGTTTCATGCATCGTCTTATATACCAGATTTATAACTCCACTTCCTGCAGTAATTGTAAATTGTTATAATTAAAGTGTATACCAATTTACCGACGACGTATCGCCATTTTTTTTAGATTCGTGTTCTGTTCATTTATTTTATAGAATATACATCGGTATTTTCGTCCAATTTTTTAACAAAAAAAACTAAAGTTTTTAAAAAGCTTTTCTATGCTTTTAAAAAATGAGCATGCGACAGGTCAGTCCTTAAAAAAACATTTTAAAAACAGGTGCATAAAAAATCGGTTAATGCCCTTGTCCCGGCAAATCCACTGGGATCGGAGAGTTGAGGCGTTTAAGATTTCCGAAGTATAGTTAGCGTTTTTTTTCATGTGTTGTGTGTGGGAATGTAAGCTTCATGGTGATATTCTCACATAGAGTACAGAAATGCTTCAGAAATGCTAATTTTAAGACTTTTTTTCTAGCGTTTTTTTCCTAGCGTTCACACAGACTATAGCGTTTTTTTTCATGTGGGGTGTGTGGGAATGTAAGCTTTATGGTGATATTCTCGGTAATTTTGTTCTCTGATTTTTATGACTTTTTGGTAAAATTTACGAACTTGAGAATATGAACCGCGGCCCTAAGACAAAGAAATGAAAAATTTTCACCTCCATGAAGCCTGACCATTAATTATGAAATAATTTTCCCTTTTAAAATACCTTTACCAAGTTTGCAAGGACCAGCGTTCCGATTTTCCAAAACTCATTATCTTCATTAACATTTTTTGTCAGTAATTAAACGAACAAGAACCTGATAGCAAGTTTATTATAAAGATCAAAATAATATTAAAAATAAGCAGGTCCTTTTACCCTTAACCGAATTCTGTGCTATATGAATTTAATTCGCGATTTCTTATGGTGTTCCTTTTTTTGGAGTTCAGTAAAACGCACCAATCAATTTTCATTACTTCCGACTATCTTGTCCGTTCATAATACCGACAAACAAGATCAAACCTCTAGGGTAGCTGGAAGTCTCGGGTCCAAAAAGGATATATGCTTAAAAAAAGGCCTGGGCTGGTCACGTACAAAGTATTCGTCACGCTGATTAATAGATCTGTGAAATATCCTATTATTTAAAATTCTGACAGCTCCGCTGATGAAGAGTGCAACCTTTCTTTGTGTTCAAAAATTCATGCATACTGATACATGTTTTATATGAAATATTTTCCTCTACCTTTGGAGAGTAGAACAAACCTTGAAAGAAAATAACAACAAATTAATGAAGCCATACTTGCATTTGTAATTAAAATTAGCACAAAACAACCACAGTAATCGGCCATGTAGACCAGAAAACATCGTCACGCTTGACTTGACTGCACCACCACCATTTCATGCTTCCAAGTCACCACTCAACGTCACCAACTTACAAATCACCACAAACAGTTACCTCCGATTTCGGCTCACCACAGCCTATTATAAAAAAATATAACTCAGTACTCACTGCAGTGAGTGACAGAGAGCGCATTTTCTCGTCGACGAAAACGTGAAGTCACGGACAGACGGACAGACAGACGGATGGACGGACGGAAGGACGGACGGACATGACGAGCACAATAGCGCCTTTTTTCATAAATGAGAATATGCGCTAGAAATTGATAGCCAATTAAAATTTTTAGGAAAATATATTGCCTCTTTATCCATAAATGTTGGAAATGGAACTAAAAATGTAGTAAGTACGAAGAAAAACGTTTGATATGTAAGAAGAAGAAAAGTTTTTCTAGTAAGAAAACGTTGAGGCTGAATGGTGGTGTAAATAATAAATATAAATCAATAATATAATAATAAATATAAAAAAATATAAATGATATATATTTATATATGATATTATATATAAATGTATAAATAAAAATGAATATAAATTAGAAATGTAGACTCTGTTTATTCTAATGTCGGCAATGATTAAAATGTCTGCACTGATGAGGAAACTGTTGAAACTGATTATATGAATGCTGAGACTGTTGATATGGCAGTTGGTAATGATCATGCTGATTATACAGATGATGATACTGATATTATGAATTTTCTTATTTGAATGAAGGAAGAACAATCAGGGATGCATATCAAACATTAATGTCAATAGAGATAATGAAAATGATCAAATGATTGGTAAAGATTGGTAATAGCGAAAATGTTTGCACTAATGATGTAACTATTTATTGGAACTGTTCACACGAATGATTGGACTGTTTCTATTAAGATTGGAATTGATTATACGGATTATGAATAATTATATAAATGATCATTTAAATGATTATGTAAATGAATATTTAAATGATTAAGAAAATGATTATGTTACTAATATCATGAATTTTCTCACATTTGTGAAGAAAATACAATAATATATGCATCTATCTGATAGCGATATCATTTATACAAATCGAATCTAAACTGTGAGATCGTCCGACAAGTTGGTTATCTCATCCATCTCTTCAGCTATGCTTTCTTTATGCTCAGCCTAGAAGTTTCCTTAACATTCACTCGACACAAAGACAGTAACGTACAAAGAAATAAAGTCACGCCCCTTAGCAGAATTGTTTAGGCCTGAGGCTGCTGGAAATATCATTAGCTTAGGTCACTGTGGGCACCCTGCCTACGGTCAGTCCGACGCTTGACGCGCTCGTGAGTGCAGCACAAAAATTCGCAGCTTAAAGAAAATAATTTGTTTGTACGCTTGAAAAAATGGCTAGCAGCAGCCAGCAGGCAATGTTTCGTCTAGTAGATGCTTTTTCTGGATCGCCTCTTGAAGGTGAGTTCAGTTATGCAGTTGAACTTTTGCTGCAAGTGTATTGTGAACATAACAATTATTTATAGTGATTTATATCCTAGAAATTTATGCTCTGCATTTTGCAAATTTTAACTCTGAATAACTAGTGTTGTGCAAACTTCTTGGTTCGTAGATTCTGTAGATTCTAACAAAAATAACTATGATTTTTTCAATTTATGCATTGTTTTATTATTTTAAGACTGAATTATTGAACCAGCATTCAATTTCAGTCATGCACTTATATTGATAGAATTATTAATTGCAATTACCGAGTCAGCTGACTCGTGTCCTGTCATTAAGCTTAAAACGAGTTCAATTCAAACATATGATATTATATTCAAGTGTTGTGTTCATTTCACAATCATACATAATGTGTAATCAAAAAATTCCTAAGTCCTTAAATCTTTAAAGATTTTTCCTTCATACAAAGTGGGATATTTTAAAAATGGTTAGCAAGAGTTCTCAAGCTATTGAGGTCCCATGCTTTTCACAAGTGTTTTCACAATTATTTTTGAAATTTTTTAGCAAAATTCAGTTGAAGTTCACTTAAAATGGTATAATTTATTCTCATCGCCACCAATCTTATTTAACCTCTCGATGTTTCTCATTGCCTGCAATCTATGAAAGAGCTTCAGTCTAACTGATATAAAAAATAAAATATCTATATAAAATATAAAATATATATAAATATAAAATATAAATAACTATAAAATATCTCTCATTATATGTCAGGATTGATTAATTTTAAGAATGTCACGATTGATAATTTAAGAATGGTTCGCCAAGGGTTCTTAAGCTATTAAGGTCTCATGCGTTTCTAAAGTGTTTTCAAAATAATTATTTTTCAGATTTTTTCAGCAAAATTGAGTTGAAGTTCACTTAAACTGATATAATTAATTGTTATCCCCACTAATCATATTTCTCTTCTCGATGACTCGATGTTTTTCATCGCATGCAACCTTTGACTGAGCCTCAGTCTAGCCAATATAAAACTTTCTCCATAGGTTTATAAATGCCTCAGTTACACATGGTGTATGTATACATGTTACAAAAAATATCTCATCTATCATTATGTCATCTGTCATTATGTCATCTGTCATTAATTAATTAATTTAAATTGGAATAAAAAAGATTAAAATACATTAAGATGCAATCAAAACTAAAAGTAATTCTTTTTAATCATTTCTACATCTTGATGCTTCCAAGTTGAAAAATATTCGCATTGCACGATGCCATTGTTAGACTTGACGCCGTGCAGCCAGAATTCTGTCGGTTATACTGAGAGTTTATATAGATCAGTATTTCCTAGTGAAGAAATTTAGTGCTTTAAATTCTCCATCTGTTATTTGTTTCAATAACTATACAGCAACTCAATCACTCTACTTACCATATTATATAGATTAATTATTAGATTATTATAGATTAATCGTGTAGGCTAGACTAGTGTTAATGGTACGCAGCAAATATCAATATAGTTGGACAGATGCCCACTGGGCCTTCTGATATGAACGCTACTATAAACTATCAATTTAGAGTAGTTTATAACTACTATAAACTAGATAAATTTACGCCGCAAGTGAAATAATACATCACTGATTTTATATTAACTGTGAAAAATAAGATTTATACCGTTAAACTTTGATTTACTCATAGTAACAGTGCCAACACAGGATGTTAACTTCGAAATTAGTAGAAGGGAGATTCGAATTCGTTATATATAATATTGATTTTAGCAGATTGATTTAGAATAGGTTCACTTTCTTTGGTGAGACATTCTGTTGTTTTTTGCGCATTTTCTCATTTATGGAAAAAATGCACTATTGTGCTCGCCATGTCCGTCCGTCCGTCAGTCTGTCTGTCTGTCCGTCTGTCCGTGACCTCAAATTTTCGTCGACGAGAAAATGCGCTCTCTGTCACTCACTGCAGTGGGTTATACTGAGTTATATTTTTTAGGTATTTCATGCAGCTACCCATGTTGGATAATTTGAATATGTGTATATTGTTTATTATGAGTCAATACTCATCGTGACTTCATCTTTTGCAGCGGAAAACATATACTCAACGGTCATCTACTGCGAAGGATGCAGGCTATCTGGTCTATTGAATGGCATGTGCAGGTGCCAGTATTGCGACCGCTGGAGGGAGCTGCAATATCAGACGATGAAACTTAAACAAATAACTGGGAAAAGTAATGAATGCTGGCGAGAAATGCTAAGCAAGAAGAAGGCTTCAGAAGCTCGTGAGAAACTCGTCAGTAGTTTACGGAGACGTATTGGTGCTACGAAGTCCCCTAAACATGAATCGTGCAAGACTTACTCCGTGAAGCCGTTATTTGAAGAGCCTGATGGAAGAAAACTGGATGAGCGTGTCAGGTCATACATCACACGAATTAAAATATTAGATCAATTTATTAGAGAAACTAGAGTATTTGATGAAAGGTGCTATGATGTAACCGACCTCAGCGACCTAGTCTCAGCCCTCAACATCGAAAAGGAACCAACTTCGCTGTTTGACCTCACACTGAGCGAGCTGCGTGAGCTCCACGCCAAGAAATTGTCTATCGTCACAAAAATCTTCAGGCGACCCAAGACTCCTACGCCTGCACCGGCACCGAGCAATGAAGTGCAGGATCTCGCTTATCGGCTCTCGCGTGCCGAATTCCACAAATTGGGAGGTAAATACAGATGGGTTGATAAGGACTCGTTACAAATATGAACAAAAGCCGCCAACTCTAACCTATTTCAGATGATTTTGTTTTAGTTTCAACAAATTGGGAGGTAAATACAGATGGGCTGATAAGGACTCGTTACAAATATGAACAATCTTAAGCGTCCGAAGATTTTTTTCGTCGCTGACCAAGACATTCGATGATTTTTTCGTTGAAATAAAATTCATTTGAATTTGAAATTTGTGTTCCTTGATTACTCCTTGTAATAATTTTGACAGAATTTAATCATGTCGGATCTGAATTTTGCGACCAAAGAAATATTTTCAATTTGTCTGCTGGTAAACTCTCAATATATTTCTAAATTCATCATCACCAGCGTTAAGTTTTGAAGCATAAACACATGTACAGATGTCATCTATTTAAGTAGCAATATATTGTGACATATTTTCCATAATTATATATCGAAGAAGCTTTGCGCGTGACAGAGGATTTGTTGATCATAGGTGACATCAGTGAGTACTTGTGCAGAATGAACTAGATTACATAACAAAAAAGTGTTACAGAATGCCATATTGTTGCTCCACAGAACTTATTCGATAGCATCACAAAATAGCGTTACAGTAGGCGCGTGAGTGCATCTAAAATAAAAGAATTTATGAACGTACGTGTTCGCATCACTAAGTAGTTTCTTCGTACACACGAAATTGCGTAGTAAAATAGGATTGAAATTGAGCACTCGAGTGGCGTTACTGAATACACTTGATTGCATCACATTAACGTGTTATAACACACATGTGTTTTCGTCACCGAATAGCATTTTAAAACGAACCGGGCATAACGTATTTGACTGAGATATCACGCGCGACGTTGCATATATAGTAGCGTTACAGAACGCACGTAAAGATGCAGAGTAGCGTTACGGAACGTAGGTAACGTTGCATAGTAGCGTTACAAAACGTACGTAACGTTGCACAGTAGCGTTATAGAATTCACGAGACGTTACCTATAAATGTTGCATAACGCACGCAACTTTGTGTCAGCGTTACAGAAAGAAAGAGAAAACGAATAGAGACGTTACTGAACGTTCGAGACTTCGCAAGTTGCGATATGGAAATACAAAGAAATACCACACATCAGAGATACGCGATCCAGAACGCATTTTTTGATTGCACCCCCCGAAGACGTAGAGCTACCTGAGACGTTCAAGGTTGTTTATCGATATTATGCGAGGACAATATAGTAGAAAATAACGAAATTGATTAGTGAGTCCATGTGAGCATCGGAAAAAATATCACCGTAAGAGTTTTCGCAGTCGGTTTATGCGTTGTAATAATTTATAATGGTACGGAACCAGCAAATTAAATATGTTATCTTATCATTTAGCGAAGATTGACAGCATATTCGTGTTAGCCTGGTAACAAATCTCGCTGCATACAGCGACGTGTGATCTCGTCTCTTCGTCGTGACGAGACCGCCGGCAATGCCAGGTACAGAATTTGTTGCTGTGAGGCTGTACGGTGGCGTCAGCGCCGCAGGTTCGTTGTCCGCGTTCGTTTGCTTGGAATACATAACGAGTTACGCGCTCACTGCAGCGCTGTGAAGCATTTCTTTACTCTTCCGCAAACCCCCTGTCGAATATTTAATTTGCGAACAACTATAGGAAAATCCTTCTCGAAACAATATACTATTTGGAACATTTAGAACTTTCCGTCAATTGCATTGCTAATATTTGTGACAAGACAAAGACAAATATTTTCTTTTTGACAAGACAAATTTGTATTTGTCTAATAATAGTTAATAATAGTTAAAATATATTTTAGGAAACACGTGATATAAAAATCGATACAGCAACGTGATGCCTAAAAGTTGAATTACTGCGGGAACTTTAGTCGACAAACGGAATGCGTTCTCAGAGACTGGCAAAAATGAGTCGAAAGCGTAGGTCAATATGAGTTAGGCTCTAATTTTGTTTAGGAATTCAAAAAATATGTGCACCTCCCATCATTAGGGCAAGTCGTTCTAGTTAAATATTTCAAAATTAAATAGGTGTTATTATAGGTATTATTATATATTATGAGTGGGAGTTACACGAAAATTTGAAAGTGGTAGTTTGAAAATTGATATCATAAACAGCGAATCAAATATGTTTTGAACTAAATTTTACAATCCTCTCAACGATTCTCGTATTTTCATTTAGGGGATGATACGAATACGCGGAAAAGTGAATTATAACAAAAATATTATATAATATAATGACCTTTATTGCATTTCTATAATAAATAGATAATCTACTTATATCAACAATATCGTTTTTAGAATGTATAGTAAGAGGTCCGAGAGAAGCTTGTCCATAAAAATTGAGTGATATTTAAGAGGTAGAAATTATTATAGGTGGTAATTTGGTAATTTAATGTGGTAATTTGGAGGATGTGAGTGGTAGTTCTTGGTTTTGAGTTTCGAATTTAGAAGGAAAAAGAAAGAAATTTTGAATTTAGAAGGAAAGAAATTACATAATATTACATTTACTTGAAAATATTTACATTTTAGTGGAAGAATTCCGCGCAAGAAGAACAAACAGTTTGTGGTGAGTTTTAATAGGTTCTACCGAACGTCGGCAGCTCCACCACCAAATTGAACATGTATACGTACAAAAGTAATGAACATTTTGGTAGGCAGAGAAAAAGATCAGATCCTCAGCATTGCAGCGTTCATAATTATAAACAATTGGGTAATTAACTCTATAGCCAATTTTTAGCGCATTTTATCATTTATGAAAAAAACGCAGTATTGTGCTCGCCATGTCCGTCTGTCCGTCCGTCTGTCCGTCTGTCTGTCCGTCTGTCTGTCCGTCCGTGACTTCACGTTTTCGTCGAAGAGGTAATGCGCTCTATGTCACTCACTGCAGTGAGTACTGAGTTATATTTTTTCTTAATCAGCGTGACTAGCGCTGCCTGCTTCACCTGTCCAAGACTCTTACGTATCTTCTGTTTGGAACCGAGACGTCCGGCCCCCTGAGAGGCTGTAGCTTGTTTATCGGTATTATGCAAGGGCAAGATGGTCGGAAATAATGAATAATGGTTCGTCAGTCCTACAGATAATTATAATCATCATAAGAAGTTATTAAAGATTAGTTATTCTTTGAAGTTGAAATTATTCGACGCTCGCTTAAATTCTGATAGTGGTGTGGTAAAAATAATGAATGAATCAGAAATAATGATGAATAGTATCATCATAAGAAGTTATTGTAGCCACTTTAATACTTCGCAATATTCGGCGGTAACGAGCAAAATGCACATAACGATTATTTATCCAGAATGGTTTGCATACTCTGATTGCTATTTGTATTATTCTCACATCCTTGCTCAGCTATTCTGACAACCTTGCTCAGCTATTCTGACAACCTTGCTCAGCTATTCTGACAACCTTGCTCAGCTATTCTGACAATATTATATTATAGTGATCATTTATATTTTTCATTATAATTCTCTTTTCCATGTGTATATGTATGCGAATACATATGCACATGGAAATTACGAAAATACGCGTACGAACATTATCCATTCGTACGCGTATGAGAATATATGTACACTACGTCTTCTCTAATTCTGCGAACGAGAGTTAGAGAACTATTGAGAGGGTTAAAAAATACTTCACTAGAATAACCTGCCTCAAAGATGCGAGATGCAGAAATATCTTGTGGACATTCAATTGCTGTCTAGCTATTTGAAACGCATATATCCAAAAATATTTAAACTTTCTAATATAAAAACTTGTCTTGCTAAAAAAACGATACAAATAGTCCTTTCACAAATCTGAGCAATGAAAACGACCAAAAGTTCTAAATGTTTCAAATACCAAATTGTTTCGAGAAGAATTTTCCTTGAGTCGTTTGAAAATTAAATTTTTGAGGGGAGATTTGCGAAAAATTTAGTGCAGAAATGCTTCAAACATAGTACATAGAGTACAGAAATGCTGCTGTCTCTTATACACATCTAGATGTGTATAAGAGACAGTGACAACCTCGCTATTCTGACAACCTCGCTCAGCTATTCTGACAACCTTGCTCAGCTATTCTGATAACCTTGCTCAGTTATTCTGACAACCTTGCTCAGCTATTCTGACAACTTACACACTCAATTAGCAAGTGACAACGAAATACACACTCACCGAGTTATGCCCACCGGCTGATTATACAGAAATTATTATTGTAATCCAGAAGGGTATACGTCCACTCCTATTGATTGTAAGCGTATAAATTTGAATTTATGATTGCCATAAGTATGAACATTCAAGACTACATATTTATTGTGTAGCCATCTGTTGATCAGCGATATTGTCGGCATCAACAAGACGGATGAAGCTTGATTTGAAGTTCAACTTCATGACTTCGCTTCAATAATGCTTAGCAAGATATTAGAAACCAGCGAGGAAAAAAGCTGCGATTAACGTTCCGCTAAGTCGTCGTCATAAATAAAATTGTTTCGAAAAAAGTGATTGAAACACAAGCAAACTGCTTACTGTGGTCTGTACAGCATCCTTCCAGAAAGTTGTTTTAAATTTCATTTCGAATTTAGAGGAAAAAATTTGAAAATATTAAATTTATTTTAAAATTTTCAAATAAATTGAAAATGTTAAATTTATTCAAAAATATTCAATTTAGTGGAAGAATTCTGCGCAAGAAAAACAAACAGAAAAAGTGCATGTTACCTGAGTTTTGGTAATGAGCTCAAATAACTACGGACAAAAGTTTGGACTAAAGTTCGCAACAAGTCAGTATAGACATATAATCGAATTTTGGCCGTCTTATCGGCGGCCACCGGGAGACCAGATTTCAGCTCACCAGATTTCAGCTTGTCTACCTAACTTTCAAACAAAACTCATTGAAAACTGAATCGAGTATAATGTGAAACAATCAGACGCGACATAACAGAATTATACTCCCAACCTTACGAGTATACAAGACAGACTCAGAAACGACCTCTCAATCGGCGGTGCACTCCTTGAAAAAAAACGATACGTGTGACCTTTCTCTTTTCAGTTCCAATTT